AGAATCTCAGAAATCCTTCAAATCTAAATTATATGAAAAATAATAAAAGTGAATTGTTTCAAAAAAATTCACTATTAATAATTCTCTGGAATTATACATGTACTCTGAAAAGTAGAATTAAAATTAATTAGCACTCATTTTGCACTAATGAAGCAATTGTTATAATTCTTTTTTAAAAATAATGTTGAACTTCAGTGCTTATGACTGAGTAAACTAAAAACTTTTAAATTCAATATTCGTTTACGATTAAAATTATGCTATATGAAATAAAAAGGTAAGAAATATTAACTTTTATATTGCAGCATAAAAACATCTCTTTGAAATAAAAGAGTCATAAGAAACTCATTTATTTTAAATACTTGAAACCATTCGAATCATTTTGAATACTTCCCCATTCAATTCTCAGAAATACCTAAAAACGTTATTTAATTTGTTTAGAACTTTACTTATAAAATTTTGTTTCTTTTTTGAATACATAACATGCATTTATATTAATCTGTAGCAAAACAAAAATAAATAATTCGCACAAAGAGGCTTCAATTTATAATGTTTGTTTTACATTTGATAAATGTTTCGTTTATTAGATATTTATGAATGAGAGTCAATATCACAAACCGAAAATGTATTGCAAAATATAACTGTAATAAGTTATACTTATGTGGAATCTCATATGTCTCCAAAAATAAATGAAAAAGTAAAACAAAATCAATCATTTCATGCTTCCCATAATCAAAATGCTCAAAATATTTTAATATTCAAAAGTAACAAGATGAATGTTAGTTAATCTAATTCTTTTGCAAAATTCGCATGAAAGTCTTTTGTTTACAAATAATGTAGAAACTTAGCATATATATAAAGAATTTTAAAGATTATTCATTACAAGATATGTTTTGAAATAGTCAAGTAAATAACAAATTCTTTTAAAATATTGTTTGTAATAATAAAGTATGGTATTACTTTTCCAAGGTAAAATTTATATAAACAGAACATACATTTTAAAAGCAATTTAAAATGAATGATCAAACTTTATATTGGAGAAATACAGAATAGTAGGAATTTAAATGATATATATATATAGGATGAAGTATTTAAATTCAAAAGTCATTCAAAATGCTTTAAAGAATATAAGATTCATTTAGGATAAGTAATACCATCATAAATTCTCAAAAATGATTTTACATCAGATAAAGGGTAAATTTTAAGAGCAAAGGCATATCAGTTCAATGTAACTATAATAAATCACTCAACATTTGGAATATGATTTTAAGTTAAAAATTTATAAACTCGTTTCTGATGTTATTTATGACGCTAAGGGTTAATATAAGAACTATTAATTATATGTACAATTATGACCAATCCTATACAATTATGACCAATCCTATACATTTATCCTTTACATCCTATATTTATAATATTTGTATTGTTTTTATTTTTATACCTCTTACTGTTTTTTATTAGCATACCTGAATGTGTGCGATTTAAGCATGCTGTGTTCTCAGAGAAATAGGTTGGATAGGACTTAAATATTATGCATTATATCAATGAATTTGAGATTATATATAAAAGATAAAAAAAATATTTAAGACAGAAATAAACACTAAAAAGTTATACTGAGGTATTAAAAAACTTTTTATGAGATATTTACAAATAAATTTGAATATTGTGAGTTTATGTTATGTTTTAATTGTATTTGAGATTTAAGTACTAGTAATTATGTTGTCAGAGAAATTCCAAGAAACTGAGTCAGAAAGACTAAACCATCTTTTCTAACTGAGCTAAGAATCAATCTGAGATTTTTTTTTCCAGGTGACTCAAACGCAATAATTAGATATCATATAAAGTATGTAACATGGATAGATTATAGTTATTGTCTTAATTATTGTATTTTATAAATTGTAAAACCTTTTAATGTAAATTAAAATTGAATAAATTGTTAAACCTTTTTATATAAATAAAATATATATAAACTGTTAAACCTTTTCATATAAATAAAATGTGTGTAAATTGTTAAATCTTATAATTATTAATCATTTAGAGTCTATATTTTAATATCTTCAAAGAGTATTTCACCTAGTGCTGAAATTCTTATGTAACCGTATAATGTCTTGTCCGGCGCAGGAGTAGATTTATAAGATGTGCATTTGTTCCGTTTGTACTTGTGTAGTACATAAGTTTTATGTCAATTTTGTTATTCTTTAATTTTGGAAATGTGATAATATTTTCTAAAACTTCCAAGAAATAGATCATGATGTGCTAGTAATAATACAAATCCAATATTATGAAATCACAGTAAGAGATGCGTAGCTCCTATCCTAGAAAGAAGTTAGATTTAAGACTGTGAAAATTGTTGCCCCACTAAAATCGATAAATATTTTAGAAATATTTTCACTTTGCTTATTGTTATTACTTACTTTAATATATCACGCAAAATGGTTTAGACGTACAGGTACAAGCTGTTAAAGGTTTTAAAAAATAATTCAACGATTTGAGAATTATTAAATAACTAGCGTTGAAGTTAGCAGGGGGGAAGAGTATTAGCCCCCCAAAGGAATATTGTTTTAGTTAACACCAAAAATGTCGTACCTGACCACTTTTAAAAGTTTTATCTTGCTTTTGCGTATATTTTTATGTCTTTTTTCACTGGTAACGAACTTAGTTTTCTAAAATAAATTTCTCCTTTATGTATAAATGTAATATATATCTGATACCTGCTTTCACCACAAATGAATTCAATTTTCAAGAATATGTAATAAATTTAACTCAATTTTTTTATTGGATTGAAGTGAAAATAAATATAAAAATTAAGTATTTTAATTACTTATAGATTTATGTATCACCTTAAATCATATGTAAGCTGGAATCTGGATATGACTGAAAATAAGTAACATTATACAAAATTTTAAGGCAGCTGTGAAGCAGCCATTTTTTTTAGTCACCCAAGGAGATATTGTTTTAGATGGATCATTTTTGACGTATCAGATCACTTTACATTTTTTTTTATTTTTAGCTGCAATTTTAATTATATTTATCTTAAATATATTCATTTCAATAATTTATCGTTTGCTTTAATTACATGTAGCTGATATAATATTTTATTTAATAACTTATTGTTTGCTTTAATTTTAATTACATTTAGCTTAAATATATTCAAATTAATAATTTATAGTTTCCTCTAATTTTGATACCAAAAAAGGTTACTTTTCTCAATTTCTTGATATTTCATCGTTTACTTTAATTCTTATATTTAATTGAGAATTTTATTTATAATTTTAATAATAATAATAAAAAAAGCGCATCTTGGGTGTCTAAATCTGTTCTTTGCAAAGCTTTGGATAGAACTTTTTAATTTTTTTAATTATTATCTCCTAATGGGTATTTTATTATTTGATATTTATATATAGATAATTAGAATAATAAATTTTTAAAAAAAAATCATATATAAAACAAAAATAAGTTTCAACTTGAAGTAACAGTATAGGATACACTATTTGAAAATACTTGATGAGATAAAAATTATACACATATTGGAAGCTTAATGTCGTCACCTTCGAAATTAAATATGAAGAAAATGAGAGAAAAATTCTTATTGTTTATAATATTAAACATTCTAACACTTAGCTCGAATTCAAGAGATTAGAATACATTTTACAGAAAATACGTAAAAAAAATATTTTTAATCGTATTTTTCCCCGAATGGTTTCAAAAGTTTTAAATCGGCGATTGATAAAATACTTCCATTCTATTTGTTAATTTTACCTGATTTTTTTTTTTTTTTTTTTTCTTTTTTTTTTTTTTTTTTTTTTTCCCAATATTTTGATTTTTCACTACGATATACGAGTAAAACAAAAACAAGGACAAAATGCTTATCATTTCGTAATCAAAACAGGCGTAACACAGTAATCATTTTCTAAGACATTGTAAAGAATTCCATTCAGAACATTATTGCCACATATTTAAAAACGCTTAAGGATTGTTGTAAGAAAAAGTAAAGTTGGATGCAAAAATATTAAGATACGCACTTATTGGATGATAAAATGTTTGAATAAAAATAGTTATCTTACTTCAAAAATTCTGATGAAAATCTAGCGAAGAAAGAAAGGAAAGAGTATAAAGTCACAGAGAAATGGAATTAAATTGCAAGGAAAAACATAACAAATGCAATAAATTAAATTTATAAAACAAACCTACATCAAAAACACATGTATTGTTCATTTTGGATGATTTTATTGAGAAGTAAGATGAATATGAATTCCAAAATATTACAAAATATAGATCTGGAAGTAATTTAATATACTTTATAAAAATTTCAGAAAGATAACAATATTCTCGGGAAAGTAATTAAGAAAAAGAAATTCTAAGTCTGAGCTCATAATCTAAAAGACCAGAACAAAAGGTATTTAGAATATATTTCTTAACGCATTTATCTGAAAATATATTTGGGACACTATACTTACTCGAAGCTAAAAATTAAATGACTCTTCAAGTATTTGAAAGTTGGGGACATTCTAACTGGAATGAATAAACTCTATAACTTTTACGATATCCACTGCGAGGCAGGTGACAGGATTTGAGAAGATTCCAGCTTTAATCGTGTATTAGCAACCCAAACGGTTATTGTTTTAGTCAACAACTAAATGGTCATATGAGAATATTTCAAAGAAAAGTGTCTTCTGGATATCTTTTTGGACAAAATGAGTGAGTGAGTGAGTGAGTGAGTGAGTGAGTGAAATAATAAATCAATCAATCAATCAAATTTCTGTTCTGTTGTCATAATATCGTTTTCTTAATTTTGAATAATTAATTAAATAAGTTAATATTTTTTTTTAAATTAGCACCTATGATGGCGCTAGATCTGTTCTTTGTAAAACTTTGCATGGAACAATTTTATCTTTCCTTTATTCTCTTTGATTATTCTGATTGTTTTATGAATCGAATCAAAACTTACGTCATAATAAAGAAAATATCTTTTATTTGAACATTTTCGTCTTAATAATAAATTCTCTTAAAATTGTTTGGTTAAAATACTTATAGTTGGATCTACACTCAGGATGGAGTATCTACCTATCGGCGGTTCCGAATTTCCCCTATTATTTTACCGGTTGCCTCCGGTGACTGGCAAGCTTACTTGAACAATTATGAATGGAATAACAGAATAGGATCTCTCGGTTATGTTTTGGTGGGCTTCGTATTCTCAAAGTAAGGATTAAAAGGACCTAGTGAGGACATTCGTATTGAGTGTCTAGATACGAAATTTTTAGGTCGTTGTATGTGATGAACAAGTACGAAAGTATTTTCTTAAGAATCATTCTATTAAGCAAGAACGAAAGATAGCTCTTCGAAAGTCATCTATTATCCCCTTAGTTTTCTCCAAAAACAATGACAGTCTGTGATCTGGCTAAATTTCTCATTTCTGGAAAGTTTACGGAAAACATTCTATGAGTTGGGGAAAATTATGGCCAAAAAGATGAAAAAAAACTGACTTAAAGGCATTATCAAAAATAGAACACAAAGCTGAATTTATACAGCACGGGAAGCCTGAAAGACTAAGAGTTATTTTCTTTTTATTATTCCATGGAGGATGGTGCATGACCAATCTTAGTTGGGGAAGGAACTTGTCTGATGAATTTCGGCCACGAACGAGATTCTACCTTATTAAATAGGTACTTATATTCTCTCAGTCGGATGTTCGTCTTAGAGAAACAATCGATGCTTACAATACTTGCTTAAAGTTGAAAATTAAACGATTATTGAAGTATTTGAAAACGTACTAAAATAACTTGCTATATTTTACTTTAACACTGTTTGCATTTACTCGAATATATACAACTGGTTTTAATTAAAAACGCTCCAACTGTGCTCTTATTTTTGTATAAGTCAAAGTTATATAGATGTGTCCAACGATAAGAAACTCATCAAATTTATAAAAAATATTTAAAATTCTAAATTTATTATTAAAAAATGTAAATCATATACATAAATATGCAAATAAACATAATTCAATTTCATGATGTACCATTGCATAATGTATATAGTATTTTCTTTTTCAATTGCTTAATGTATAGAGGTATTCAATTTATTATTCTAAGCAAAAAAACAAATTATCATTCATATGAAATTCAAGCTATTTTAACTGAAATTTAAAAATTCGTGAGAGAAATTTTTTTGTCTTTAATAGTATCTCAACACGTGTTGAGGAGTATTGAAAAGCTATTCAACATATTAAATATATGAAAAGAAATTAGTAATAATAATGATGATGAGCATAAAATTAGGTTTTTTTTTCAAAAGCTTAAGTAAATACATTGATTGATTTTAAGCACATTATGTCGTAGTGTAATATTCTTTACATGAACATTAAAGATTATGATTATGTGCAAACAAATATATCACAAAAATTTCTTATAATCCTTATTTCTCTATTATCATATATATATATATATATATATATATATATATATATATATATATATA